TAATGAGAGTATAACATTATAACATGATATAAAACACAAAAAGTTGATTTTACATGATATTGCCCCTTTAAGACAAAAAAATCAAGATAAAGAAGTGAATATTTGCTAATAATACATGTAGTGTAAAGTATTCAGTTTGGGATTGACATACGTGTGTGTTTTTGATGAAAGGCCCACCAGTCTGGATGCCTTTGTGTTTGGTTTTGTGGCCCCTCTGGACAAAGCACACCTCCCCAGCACRCCTCTGCAGAGCCACCTCAGACAGCTGGAAAACCTCACGCGCTTTTGTGACAACGTCCTYGCCGCCTACTTCAGCTCAGATCAGCCTCGTAAGATTCCCGCTCGCCATCCTCGATGCTTTAGCTTGAAGCCATTGAAACTCAAACTTGGCAGGGCAAATTTATTGTTCACAAAAAAAGCAAAAACTAACTCAATCTTTGAATCTGCTTAAAATCGTGGTTTAAACGACTTAACACTGCTCCTGCTCCTCCTCCTCCTCCTCTCGTCTCTCTCCAGGTCCTCCTCCACCTGTTCAGGAAACGGTGGATGCGAACCTCCAGAAACTAACACAGCTCGTAAACAAAGAGTCCAACTTGATAGAAAAGGTGCTTCTGCTTTCCTTTTCCCTTCTTTTGCATGGGTTCATGGTTGCTTTCGGCAGGTATCACCACTCAATTCTCGCCGTTCTCATTTCTTTCTCATGCATGTGCAAACTAAATTGTAAATTGTACCTAAATTGTACCTTTTCTTGTTTTTCTTCAAAACTTCAGATGGATGATAACCTTCGCAGTAGCCCACAGCACAAGTCCCACAGAGCAGACCCCAAACCGGGTCTGTCCGGTGCACGGAGCTCTACTCCTGCCTAAAACTCAACCCGACATATGATTCATGGAGGAGCACACTGTAAATATATATATAAATAAATAAAAAAGCTTTGAGGCAAGAAGGGCAAAATCTTTAACAAACTGGACTATGACTGAAATGGAAAATAATTATATTAATAGAAGTATAATTAAAGGAGACTATTTTACTATAATGATGATGGCGTTTAAAGATGTTCGTCTGAAGAGGAAGAAAARGTGCATGTGGGATGTATTTATAAAGGAGCGGTGCATGAATGTGGYGAAGGATGGAACGCTGTGAAGAGGTGCTCGAGGACAAAAAACAAGTTCAGAGGGACGGAGAAGAAAACGAGGAGTCCAGTTGGGAAACAAGTCGTTCATTTTAACCTTTTAATCTTTTACTCGTGTTGAACTCATCTAYACTTTCTGTTTGTCCACATCTGAGCTCAACTTCTTTCTCCCGATTCCTGTAAAATATTCCTGAAGTTCTTTGCATTAGCTTAAAGTCTGCCTTCACAGTAGCTTGTATAGTTTTAAACAGATGATTATAACCAAGTAGACATCAGCTGACTGAATTATTTGCGATGTTTAGCTAAAGTAACTAAAAAGCGTTAGAAGAGCACTTTATATTAAGATAATTGGGACTAAATTATATTTCAGTGTCATTTATCTCGGAGGTTTCTGTAACAGTTGTTGCCTTGATTTTGCACATTTATTCCTCATTTGTTGTTTGTTCTGCCATGTTGTGTGTTTTATTTTGCTGTGCCTGTGTTTTGTTAAAAACTGAGGTGTTAGTTGGGACCGTCAAATCAGCTGCCCCTTTTTTTTTAAAAGTGGGATCACTTTAAAGTTATGAATCAGCGAATTCTGTCTATTTACAGGTGGTTTTATGTCCACTGTGACAAATATTAATTGGGTGTTTCAAATTCCGAATACTCACTTCAGTGATGCATTCCCTTTAAAGCACTGTCTTAATAAAAAAAACATGTTTGTTTTTGTTGCAGGGTGCCTTCATGACTGCTGAGTTATCACGTGTMAACATGTTTGTATTTTTTTAATAACAAAAATTAGGATTCAACAATGGCCAGTCTTTTTTTTTCAACAAAAACTCCTGACATTTCCAAACGTGCCTGTGAGCTGTAACAGTTTTATTTGTCATTTCATGTATATTAAAAATATATATTGAAATGAAACAGTTTCTGTTGTCGCACATTCTGATTGTTCCAGACTTCATGCAGTCATTTCTTCTTAAAGAAATGAGTGGATATCAGGCAGATCAGGAGACTTTAGTTTTTAGCTTTGTAAGTTTGGGCACTAACGAGTAATTTAAATCTGTTATAGTTTAAAATGTTTTGACTCAAGTGATGTGAAAAAAGGCGACCAGCTCCAGGAGCATATTGTGCTGCACATGTGAACCTCCTTTAGGCTAAAACAACTAAATGTTCCAGGCACTCCCCTCACAGAAAGATGGAAAATTCAGGCTGAAACGTTTCCTTCAGGCTGCAGCGTCACGGTCCAGCTCCTCACATGGAGGCCAGAAACTGCTGCCTGATGGGTTTCATGTGTGCCCTCTTTCTTCAGAAAAGAGAAAAGGTGCGACTGCCTGGAAAATATCTGTGAATTAACTGAAAATGGCATGTTTCCTGGGAAAGTGGAGCTCAAATGATGACGGTGGGTGGAACCTAAGACATTTATGTTAAAGTTTGAAGGACTTTGGAAAAAATATGCCTATTTTTGACACAAAGTTCTTTTTAAGGACAATGTTTTCATTTTTTTACTACAAAGTTTTAGATGTAAAGTTATGTATTTTATGTTGCATCATTAGTTTGTATTGGGCAAAATCAAAGTCACAGAGCTTTTGAGAGAAATAAAACCCAAAAAAGTCTTTGTTAAACTGTATATRGTTTTGGTTTATTTCAGTGGTTCACTTTAGATTAAACTGGTAATGAAGATTTGTTTACAGATTTCCAGCTGATGGAGAGCTGAGGCCATCTGCTGGACGATGGAGGAAGAGAGTCACAACAAACAAATCTATTTGTGCAAATAGAAAAATAGTCAGCATTTTAGACATAAAAATAAAAGCGAAAACATCTGTAGCAGAAAACAGATCACTTCTTTTTAAAAATATATTTACAAAAATTCACAATATGAAACAGTTTTAAATATATAAATGTGCTGCTTAAATCCCAGGACTTGAACTAATTACTAATTAATTATACAGAGTRTGACTTTATCGTTTCTATTAGTGTCTCGTCAATAATGTCACAAGACAACTTAAAAACTAAGAGACAAAAACAACAATGGAAAATGGTACAAAACTTTCACATAAAAAAAGTGATCAGTGATCCACAGCATGTCAAAAATGTAAAAAGCTGTAAATTTAAAGAAACTATCACTAGCATCCTTTTTTCATTTATTTCACAAAAAAGGGATAACAGAAATCAAATTTATTTAAGTTTGAGAGATCAGTCAAATCAACAAAAAAGCAAAATTGCTGATTTTTTCCCAGTTTTAACTCATATTTTGTTTTTGTTTTTCATTTACAAGTAAAATCACTGCAGCTAATCGTAAATTTGTTTTCTTTATTCCATCAAGTGAAAAAAYAACTAAAAATAAACCTACTTTTTCCAAAGGTTTTTTTTACATAAAAAGACTTAAAATATCTTTATTTTCTTCTCCTTCCAATATTTAATTTATGTGACTATTAAATTTAATAACAATCTAATAAATTCAAGTTTATTCCTTCATGTACAAATCTAAAGCTATAAAATCAGTGAAAAGAGGATTTTTTTTATTTTAGACATTTTAACATTATGTATTTTTATTAGCTTCAAAAACTAGTTTTTTCCTCACACAGATAAATGTCAAATCTATGTGAACACAATTCAGCTGCAGAAAAAATGTTTTTTTAGTTATGAATCCATATGCAGAATTTTTACTGAAATTTACAATAAAAACTATTTAACCTAGCTCTTTTCATTTTGGATTTATTTTTGATAAAGGAATTGATCATTTTATCATCACTACATGTGAAAWCTTCATGGTTTCACATTTAAACTGAAAAAAATAAAAAGATCACATTTAAATCTTAAAACTGTAACATTTTAATTTTTGTATTTTTAACAAATTGGTTATTTCAGAATATCACAGACTGTGTTCTGAAGGTGCACACAGCAGACTCAGGTGTGTTTGATAAACTCTGGTACCTCCAGCACCATGCAGACCTGCAGGCTGCCCGGCTGATCCAGAGCCAGCACCGGGTGGCAGGGCTGGGTGAACCGCTCCCTGAATGTCCCCAACAACCGTCCACTGTGAGGATTGTAGAAGGACAGACGTCCCAGACGGTGGTCCAAGAGGACGCCCACTCGCTCTGGTGTCTCAGTCACRAACAGACTGGACTGAACGTCACCGTGGAGCATCTGAAACCTACAGCTGCACAGAAACAGGAGGATTCAAACGTTAACAGAAGCAGCTTCTCAAACGGGACACTTGTCACCATGCTTACCCTGATGGTGTGGGAATGCACTGCAAACACCACGACATGCTGTTCTCCCCGACTGAGCTGCTTCTGTTGGCTGCGGTGCACGTTACCCCAAGCCTGTAGGCCGGACATCCTGACACCACTGTCTCCCAGTAATGCAGSCCTCGAGGAGGCAACAACTCCCCCAGGATGGATGGACACCTAGAAAACAAACAGTCATCAGTGTTYACTTACAGATCTGAGAGGTGTCGTCACTGGTTTCAACTTACTCTGTGGTTTTGTGAGCGTCCTGGGAGTAGTGCAGGGTGGTCTGGTCATCGGACAGCTTCAAAGCGGGATGAGCTGAGGCTCTCAGCAGGTGGAACTTCGTCCCTGAAACAGAGCAATGTCAGAGAAAAGAGAAAAATAAAAGGTTTGCATAATGTCCAATTTCAGGTCTGAGATGTAAACTAAAATTTAAAATGTTTTTACTCAAGTTAGAGTAAAAAATTAGCCATCCAAAAATTACTCAAGTAAGAGTAAAAAACATATTTTGTACAAAGGCTACTTGCGAAATGAGTAATTGATCATAACAACTGATTTAATATTTTAAAATGATGTCATCAGACTGACAAAAGTAAAAAGTTATGTGCAAATTCTTGTGTTTTTAAATTCTAAAATGAAGTAAATTAGTACAAATAAATAGCATAATTAAAAAAATAAATCCAGCAGAAGAAACACTTTTCTAAGTCAATTTATTCTCATAACACTTGTGAAATTAATACTGACAGTAAGTGTTTCCACTGTTTAACATAGATGACCTCCAAATGTCTCAGCAGATAGAAAATGGCATCAAAACAACAAAGCTTGTGTAAAAAACAAGAGGTCTCACTCTGACATAAACTGTGTGTGTCTTGTGCATTTCTGGTCTAAACACATTTGTTCTGCATTCAGTGAAGTTGCTTATGATGGCTAGATTTTTTGGAAATTTTACTAAAGTATGAGTAGTTATACTTTATAATTAAGTTCTGTCACTGAGATCCACAGAGATTCTGTAAATCTGAGGATGTTTGTTTGTTTTCACCTCTTGTAGAGATGAGCGCAGCCTCACTTGGCTCACTGACACCAGCCTCATTAACAGCTTTCAGGTAAAACAGGTAATTTTCATTGGGCTGCAGGAGAACTCTCTGTTCACAAACGGTAATTCCTGAGATTGATCTGCAAACATATAAAACATAAAATTTTACATCTTTTTTTTTAATTCAGGTGGAGATTTTCTTTTGCATCAATCCAATAAAGTTGACCGATCAGAATTAGAAAACAAAGGTGAAGATTTTGTTGTCCACCCACCGGAGCCCCTCTCCTTCCAGCTCGTACTGCCGGCAGTACTCCAGACTGTAGCTCTGTCCTGGAGTCTGCTGAGCAGAGCTCCACCTCAGCGTGGCTGAATCCCACAGGACGCTGCAGCGCTCCGTGTCCATCACTGGCACCGATGGAGCTGAGACAGAGACATACCATTCCATTACTCTCTGCTTTAAACTCCTTGTGCCAAAGGAAAAATAATAATCATTTTATCAAATTAACAACAAAGCATGCTACTGGCATTAGGCTGACCGGTTCTGAAGAGGAGCTTCTCACTGGGCAGAGAGCAGCCTGTGTAGTTGACAGCCATCACCCACACCTTGTACATCTTGTCCGCCTCTAATTCCTCCAGGACGCAGTAACTCTCCTTCACTGTCACCCGGTACTCCTCCGACACGGCTGATAGCGAGGCCCAACGAGGCAAACACAAGAAAAGTTACGTGTTTCATTTATAATGAACAACCCTTCCAACAATTAAACAACACAGTTTTCAGCAAGCCCTGATTTTTTAAAAATGTTTTACTGAACTTCCAAGAACTATTTTTGCGTTATTTAAAAGTGGTCAGTCTTTGAGAATGGTCAAAGAAAAATGTTACAAGACCATCTGAAAGAAAGAAGAAGAAACTCAGGCTTCCCAGAAACAAAATCTACATAAATATTCAAGATTTTGCACAGTATTTCATCAGAGCAGTAGTTCTCAGACTGTGAGGAGAATCTTGGCGTACTCAAAGAAAAAAACACTATAACATTCCATTTTATTTAAACGCTTTTACTTGAAGCATTGTTACTATTTTGTTCGKGGGGCTTAAGAGGGGCCACTTTACATCTGACAAACGTTCTGAAAGCTTTTTACCTCCTTGTGGCTCCTCCACACAGTAAACCTGGAAGCAGTCGATGATGTCGCCAGGGTTGACCTTCCAGTAGACCGTGACACTGGTGCTGGTGGCTGAGCCTGGTTCTTGGGGCTGCAGTGTGGGCCTCTGAGGCACTAACGCACACACACACATGAAAAGACAAAAGTCTTTTAAACCAGTGGTTCCCAAACTTTTTATCTTATGACCCAAAAARTATCCATGGCAAAACTTGTGACCCCAAATATTACTGGTCTGAGTACACAAACTTTGTTAATAACCCTATAAACACAGGCTTTTTGACAACCCAAACAGCTTGTACACAAATACAAATACTTATTTATACTTTTTGTGTGTTTTTGTAATAGTTATAGGGAAAATATTACATCAGCAATTATTTTATTACCCTTTAAATTGATTTCTGGAGATTATCCAAGGTGCTTTATGACACATAATTGGATCCCAAGCCCAACTTTGGGAACCAAAGTGCAGTGGTTCCCAAACTTTTCAGCTTTTGACCCACAAAATAACAGCAGTAGAGACCTGTGCTCCCAGATATTTTTGGATGATAAACATTTGTATCAGGTCAACTAAACACGGACATAGTAACAATATTTTTATACTACATTCATCCATTTTAAATATACTAACCTCACTCCTTTGTAACAACTAAGGCAAAAATGTAATTAATTCMGAAAATCTTTTCAGGACCCCACCTTGATGTTTCGGGACCCCACTTTGGGTCCCGACCCCAACTTTGGGAAACCCTGCTTTAAACTGTGAGGTCTTCAAGAAGACGTWTGCTTTTAAATCCTTCTTTCTCACATTTAAATCATTCTGTTGTGTCTATWTAAAGTTGAACTACAATGCTTTAGTCTGACTTCCTCCTTAACTCCACAAGCCCCTTTCACGCTTTTTCTAAGGTGTGTCTCAGATCAGCTCGTTTTGAGGCTGCCTCTTTAACTCAAAGCAAGGCGCTTCACACCCAGCCCCCCTCCAGCTTCCAGACCGGTCCATTCCAGTTTTATAGAGGACTTTATAATATAGCGGTGCAGAAACTTCCCCTTTAACGTAAGACATCAGGAGGATGAAYGCTGAAAGAGGAGATACCTGGAATTCCTTTACGCTGGGCCAGGTTTGAGCTGGTGGCGTTGGTCTTGGTGTAGTCCTCAAACACCAACAGTCCCTTGGGACCCAGCTCCAGGGACGAGGCTGAGTCCAGAGCTGCTTTGAGTCTGATCACAAACACACACGTTCAGCTGCTGTTAGAGATAAAGCCACACAGTTTAACACAACACGAACGTTTTTTAATCACCTCATGCCGTTCAGATTAGAACAACARAAGTGCTTTCAGCTACYATACCTTGCACAGATGTCTTCAGGTGACTGGTGGGAGAACATATAACAAGAGGTTTTGGTTAAACGTTTGACTCAACCGATTTTATCTCACTGATGAATCWGTGTTTCGGGACTCACGCTYGCATCAGTTTCAGCCTCCCTGGTGGTGGTCTCCAGGGTGGACTTGGCCGAGTCGATGTTCTCCTGGAAGGAAACGATCTTGTCGTAGAGCTGCTCCAGCTTGGCTTTCTTCTCCTCCTCCATGGTGACGGACATTTGGTTGTACTGCTCCATCACCTGAGTCATCATCTCTTCGTTCTGCGCCCGCATGGCTGCYTCTCGCTCCACAAACCCATCCTTGCAAAAGAGCAGATGTGGTGGCATGTGAGATCAGTGTCCGCCGTGTCCGCAACGGTGATCACGGTTACCGTACCTCCACAGAGTTGTAGGTCAGCTCCAGCTCCGACACCAAGTCCTCGATGTTCTCCGATCTCTCCTGAARCTCTGAGATCCAGACACTCAGCGTCTCCTGCATGGCAAACATTACTTCAAGATTATGTTTGAGCTACAAGTTACCAAAGAAAAACAACTTTGTAGCTTTTGAAATTTCATACAAGCAGATTTAAATTGATATTTTAGTTCTGTTTCATACCCTAAAACATCTTATATTACAAGTATCAGCTAAAGGTGAAGGGAAGCATTAATGTTTTTTTGAAAGATGGCAGGCATTTGCATTCCTTCAAGGAATGGCCTTTATGTACTGTAAGTAAAAGAGCTTCTTGTTGCAGTTTTGAGGCAAAGCATCAAAAACAGGYGATCCCAGCTGTCAGAACAGCTGCTTTCACAGGTTAGAGGGAATGTGAGGATTGYACAAATCCTGTAAGAAGTGATGGGGTTTGCTGACTTTCACACKCTGAACTGGGCTGGACACAGTTTTGTCGAGTTGTTTTGGTCAACTTGTCAGTAGGGATATCCTGATCAGATACTCAGTATTGTATTGGTGGCAGATATGGCCATTTTTTTTGAAAATCGGGCAGAATCAGATTTAATCATGTGATCGGGCCGATCCAGTTTTCGCGACAGTTTTCAGCATCATCATGCTTTACAACTGCAGTTAAAGGAGTGATATCATGTAAAATCAACTTTTTTGAGTGTTATATCATGTTATTATAATGTTATACTATTACAAAAAACATGCCCAAAGCCTTACTTTGACTCATTCATGCATGTCTGAGAAATCCTGCACCGTTTTTAGGAAGCCATGCTGAGGAGCAAAACGACAGGTGGGGACCAGAAATGCCTTTTGGGACCAGAAACACCTCTGGGACGTGTCTTTAAGCCAAACTTCCTCATGGCAGAGCGCCCCTCCCCCCTCCCCAGACATCCCGCCTATGACTCCTGTACAAGTAGGGGTCTCTGCGGATGAGTGCGGACGAGTGGGCGTGTCACAAGCAAAGGCGATTCTAAAGCGACACTCCTGATTTGATGGATTTTGTTAAAGGGACACACCTGACTGGACAAGCAAAAAAGGGGCAATACCATACGGCACCACCTCATTGGACAAGAGCTAAAGGGGCGTTACTGAACGGCACCATTTTTTCTGGAGAACCCTACTTG